TTTTATTTATGTTTTACATGTTTGTTGTTTAAATTCTAATTTAGTTATAAGTTGATATTCTTATTTCGTAGCCATATAACCATCAATCACATGTGCCTTCTCATTCTAGAAAAGGAGTGGTTTTTAGTTACAGGCTAAAACTGCAGCTTAATCTGCTGAATTAATATTTAAGCGCAAGAAGTCTGATTTTGTAGATACCAAAAAAGTAGAACATATTCTGAAATATTCGACGAATTTGCTAAAAATGTATTTTCTTCTAAGGTTTCCCTTTTTATTTTCATAATGTGTATAGTTTCTAATCTGGTCAACTTATATGGGTTGAAAATTTAATTGATAAGATGCATACAGAGTTAGCTATTATGGCAAAAACTAAAATGTATGATGCACAAAATGTGATAGAGAATGCTAACACGTTAGTTAATTATTTTTTCTAATGCGCTAAAGCTTAGTTCTCATAAATTGTTTTGGCTCATTCTATATTGTGTGTTCTTTTTTTCTTCATTTTCTAATATTTAACTATGCAATTTTTCATATTCAGTACTTTTTTATTCCTTTTTCCATGTACTTATGTTGGAGAATTGGATTTTATTAATATCGCTGTTTCTCTTTTATTTCAATGTTGTTTGATATTTACAGTATATTTAATCAAATACTTCTTACTCCTGTAAACCTGCAATTTTTATGTATGTCAAACGTTTCTATTATCATCTACATACACGTAATATTTTCAATTTTATTTTTGGTGAGTTTCTTTGTGCAGTAATATCAGTTTTTGAAATAATCACCTTGTTAGATAAAGTGAAGCAATAATATGCTCCCAAGACTCTTGAATAATCCAATAAATCTTAAACTAATTTTTTAATAAAAACACAACAATTACAGAATTCGTGCAATGCAAGTGTCAATGACGAGTAATTAATAAAATTGTTTATGGTCAAGATTTGGAGGAAGAAATAGTTCCTACTTTGCATGTAGGAACTCTTTTCTTTTTGGCACTAATTTGTTTAGGGAGTTGAGCAATGATGCAACAATTTTCTCACTTCATAGTTTGCAGTTAAGAACTCTTTTCCATTTGGCACTAATTCGTCTAGAGAGTTGAGGACGAATAATGCAACAATTTCCCCTATTTTCTAAGGAAAGAGCTTGGTATCAGAATTGTACCATACAGTCCTCTTAGACAGCTGAGATTCAAGCCCTCGTGTCCTGTTTGGCGTAACTTAAAAAGTCAATAAAAATCTAAATCAACATTTAAATCAACCATACTTTCCATGGGACCAACAACTTATCAACTTTTCAACTATACAATTCATCAATTTTTATCAAAATTTACTAAAAATTTGATTTTTAACTACACGATTCAGGAGCTAAGCAATTTTAGTAAGGTTAGTCCTTTGAGCACATTTCATTATTTCAAGCTATTGACAGCATTTTAATTTTGTATACATCTTAAAAATCTAATTTTGAGAAGGTTCAAACCAAAAAATCTTGACAAGAACAAGCAAATATACCTATATATTTGTGAATTGGCAACAAAAAAAAGGACGCACCCCTGCACAATTGGCACTGGCCTGGGTTTTATCAAAATGGAGATGAAGTGTGTCACATACCAAGCACCACCAAAATTGAGAACCTGAACCAAAATAGAGAAGGCATTATCAGTGGATTTGACAGCATATGGAAAGGCTGAACACTATGCAAAAAAACACCATTTGCAACATATAAATGACAACATTTTGTAGTTAAATGTTGTTAAAGGGATCTATCGCAACATTCTAATACGT